AGAAACCTTCCCCCGTGTCATTTGCATAATTGTGGCATATAATTGATTCCACCTGACCTGCAGGTATTTATTTCATTTAGGTGTTTCAACGCGGCCTTCCGGCCCAAAACAGTGGGTGGGCAACACATGCCGAACTGCGCTACGCTGAAAAGCTGTTGACTTCGTGTGCATCGCAGCTCCTGTTAGAGAACTTCGTGTGTTTCGACCTGCTTCTTGGAACCCCAGAGGTGACATAAAGAAAATAAAAATATTTTAAAATTATATTTTAGGGATTAATAATTTTATTGAATATTATTTTTCTAAATGATTAAAAAATATTAAATTATATTTTTATAGGAAAAAAATAATTTAAAAAAAATATTATATATATATAAATATTTATTTTATATATTGTTGATATTATTATAATATTATTATAATTTATATATAATTTATAATTATTTATATATATTAAATTATTTATATATATTTAATTAATTAAATATTAAAATAATATAAATTAAAAATAAATATATTTTGTTTTCGAAATAAAATAAAAAATAATAATTTAAATTTAATTAATTAAATTTATATGATAGATTTATTAAATTAATTTATATATTGAAATTATTAAATTATATATTTTGCCACCGCGTAGATTTACTAGTAATGAGGTATTTGATTCTTGCCTATGATTGCTGAATTGACCGGGTCTTGGGAAGACGGAATTATGCGTATCTTGAAATACATTGTGTATGCAGCTGCGGTTCGCAGTGGCGAAGATGCTGGGTAAATTTTTACCACTTTCCTCCAAGAATTTACCGTGGTGATCCGCTCCAACCGGGTCCGCGCTGCTCTTCGCCGGCGTGCTGAGCTGAGCACTTTCTGAGCTTGATCCGTGGTAAGTTATTGTAGAATATTTGTAAATAGTGTTATGGAGCTGCCGGCTCGCTTTTTGGGGCCATCCACTGTTCCCAACGGATGTCTCCGTATAGCTCCATCGTTTTGAATCGTCCGAGACAGTCTCCCCCCTCCTGGTTTTCCACATTCGGGGCGTCAGCTTCTGGGATTTTGCCCTTTCTTCGTTCATTCTGGGTTGTCCGCTGCTGCCTCTTTCTGTAGCATAGAGCTTTGTGGCCCCTTGCATGGAGTGCGGAGCCAATTTTTTTTGCTTTTACCAATCTCATATGGATTGGGATTTGGTGTTTCAATCGATTCCTTATTACGGTATAACCGTGTTATGTATAATATAAATTTTAAAAAATATTATTTAAAAAATAATGAATTATTTTATTGGAATAAAATATATGGATTTATTTTATATTTAGATGATAAATGTTATTATTGTTTAATATGATATTTATATTTAGATTAGGTAATATTTGATATTTATTAATAATGGAATTGAATTTTTAAAATTATATATTTATTATATAATTTATTTTATTTATAGGATATTTTATTGGAAAATATATATATAATATAAAATTATTTCGAAATTTATATTTTTTGTATATTCGAATTATTTTTAGAAATTATAAATAAACAAAAATATATTATAAAAAAAAACATATATTTGGAAATTAAAATATTAGAAATATAAAAATATATTAGGTTTGGATTATTTTCGGAAATTAAATTTTCGAAATAAATTAAAATATCTTATATATTCGGATCGTTTTTGAAAATTTAGATATT